CTTGAATATGGTACACTTAACTCCATAAATCCAGTGGGCTGTAAAATATGAATAACATTTATAATGTAAAATGATAACAGACAAGAATGTAAATAAGTTTGCATTATTACAGACTTAAATTGTTGTATATTATATAGGCTTTGAAATCTGCTATCGTTTGGAATGAACATGATCTTAAATACCCGTGTTTTATTCAGTGATCCCTGGTAAATATCATCATTCATCAATTCTCAATACATATTTGATGTCCAAAGTCCTCAGTGATCTTAGTTCTATGGTACAGGTCTTTGTGACCTTTTTCTTTTGGTCTTCGCTACCCGACTATATCAGTCAATAAAGATTGATTATGTTCTAATCTCATTGTGGGACTTTGCTTTCAGCAATGAATATGAATTAACCTATGACAAAAAAGTTGAGGTGGGCGTGGCACATCCGGGTGGAATTACTAATTGTTTACATTTTGGGGAAAGGGGCATAACTCGCATAGGATACATTTGTTCAAAAAGGAACTTTGCACACAATTACCTCATTATTTTGGCCAGTTTGTGTTAATAGGTCAATTGTTTCAGCTTTATAGTTCCAAAAAAGGAACGGGTTTTGAAATTTCCATATTTTCAATTTTCTATTTTGACCCTTATTGACTCTTGTTGACCTATATCTTTTGACCTGTATGATGTAGAAGCTTTAAATTTGGGATACTACATAACATTCAGAATATCAATTAACCTATGCAAAAGAAATTGAGGTGGGCGTAGCACATCCGGGTTAAATTACTCATTATTGACAATTTTGACAAGGGACTTAACTCGCAACGTATACATTTGTTCAAAATGGAACTTTGCATACAATTACTTCATCCGTTGAGCCACGTTGTCTTAGAAGTTCGATTGTTTCAGCTTTATAGTTCAAAAAAAGGAACAGCTTTTGAAAATTCAAAATTTTCAATTTTTGACCTTGACCTTTTTTGACCCTGATTTTTGTAGGATTAAAGGTCATTCAAATTGGTTATCTATTTATACTTTTATATTTGCTGTCCTACCTCAACTTCCGGTTTTATAGCCGTATATATTTAAAAATTTTGATGACTTGTATCTCGTAACCTTGACCTTTGTTGACCCTCTCCCTTTCAATGTTAAATGTCATTGACCTTGGCTATCTTCTGATACTTTCATTTGTGAGGTCTGTCTACTTCCGTTATAACAATCTTCCAAAGAATTCTTCTCAACTTTAGACTGCTCTTGCGCGTGATGTAATTATCGTAGAAGGTTGATTTTTTCAGAGTCTTTTGCAATTTGCTACATTTGCAAAGTCCCACTCTGTGCCACGTGTGGCTCTAGTTATCAATTTTTTTGGTTTATTAAGTCGCAATGAATTATATTGTGGATAGAATCAGAATCATGATCAGTTTTAAAACTTGTTAAACACACACTTGAATTCAATCATATTAAATAATATTATATATTTATATTTAGAAAACGGTCTTCATTTGGTTCAGATAATTCAATATCAGCATCCAAATAGACCAAGATGGATAAAGTGAGCACTATTCTGAAATTTTCTTCTAAAGAACACCAGTTGAAGATGGATATTATGAACAAAGAACATCAAGCTAAAATGGATTGATTTAATTCGGAAAAGAAGGTAGCTGAATCATTACTAAGAAAACTGACATCATCAGAACACAGTACCAATACATGTAACCCTACTATTGATTGTGCAGAACAGTTTTCTTATTTTAAGAATAGTTATGAATAAGAAGGTTTTGGCATTTATGTTAACTTTCTTGAGATTTTAAACAATGTAATGGCAATACCTACTTTATTATTATATCAGATACCTAAGACTACATTATTAACGAATAGTTATCCAGTTTTATTTCAGGTTTGATTTTGACAATATTTCGGCACATGTTGAATTAGTTATATTGCTGTTTATACTAAAAATTATGTAATAAGATTGGTATAATTTTTTAAATGGCATTCCAAGCTCTTGTGCGAATCAATCAAGTAAATAACATCAGACGAGCACTTCGACGAGAGCGAGTTTTCAGAGATAGAGGTAATCCATTTGATATATACAATGACATTGATTTAGATTTACTAAACCAGTTGTTCATTTTATTTTGAACTTAATATCAGATCAATTGATTAGACCGACAGCTCGTAGCAATGCACTGTTGCCCTCAACACAACTTTTTATCACCTTAAGGTACTATGCCACAGGCACTTTTCAACTTACTGTTGGTGATCATTGTTCAGTTTCCAAATCAACTGTTAGTTGGATAATAAAACATGTTTCAATAGCTCTGGCCAACCTGAGACCAGAATATATAAAAATCACACATGATGTGCAAAAATTAAAATCAGATTTCTATGAAATAGATCACTTTCCAAATGTAATTGACGCCGTAGATTGTACGCACATCAAAATTTGCAATCCAGGTGGCAAAGACCCTTCACGATTTATTAACTGAAAAAACTTTTTTTCGATCAATACTCAAGTGATTTGCGATTCTAAAGGCAAAATATTAAACATAGTTGCAAGATGGCCTGGCAGTGCCCACGACAGTCGAATATTTAATGAAAGTTCTATCAAAGAACATTTCTATAGCCATTCAATATCTGGTATTTTAGTTGGAGATCAAGGATATCGATGCCTTCGCTACCTTATGACTCTGTTAGCTAATCCAACTGATCCTGTCGATGATGACACACCAGGCAACAATATTCGAAATATGTCAGGTCTCCAAGCAAGAAGAAATTTTGTAATGAACCATTTTGCTAATTATTACCTTGATGTCCTAGAAATTTTTTAATTGAAGCTGAATTAAATCTCTTAGATAATTAGGTGAAACGATCCCTTGACATATAATTGGTACTCTAATTTTCTTTGTGTTATATATGTTTGTTACATTTTTTTTGTGTTATTTAAAATGGACCTACAAGTGTCATTATAATTTAGTTTAAGTTTGAAATAATGTAATATTTCATTATGAGAGGGTATTTATTTTTATGAATAAATGAATAGTGTTTAATCTTTGTGTTGACTTTTTTTTATATTATCTTAATAGAGTCAGATATTCAATTGCAATCTTTGTATAAATAATTTGATTTTTCTAAAGACAAAAAAAAATCATGCAACAGCTAAGTTCTACCACTAATCAGCCCTTAAACTACCCCTCTGGTGTGATTAAGTTTTCACCGCTTTTAATAACAGATTAAACCATAATCATCTTTGGAGCATACCATTTTAACTTTAGTCAGTGATTAGTTGAATTTTAATCTATGACTAGCCTTAGTCGGCCTTTGAGAATACGGACCTTAGTGATCACACCAAAATCATCGGTATTATCTCGGCCTGTTTAAGAATAGAACAAGTGGTTGCCTAGCAAGATATGCCCACTTTCCTGATACCTTTTCAGTATATTAAGGGCCATCAACAATCTGAGTCAAATCATTCCAAAAATCTAATTTGTGCAAGATATTATTGATTTAATCAAACAGACAAAATTTGATTAAACTCTGACATAAATTGTCACCTCTATCGCGTTAACACACCAACAAATTTTGATGTGTTTTTACTAAGTGAAAGGCAGTAACTCAAATTCCGTTGATGGAAATATTGTCAAATTCAATCTTGAATAGGATCTCATGATTATAAATGATCACACCAACTTTCATTTAAATCGATTGAAAACTGTAGTCTCTATTGTGTTAACGAAATATGACTTGTTTTTCCTAAATCAAGGGCAATAACTCAAAAACCGTTTATCGAAAAATCATCAAATTCGAACTTGTCCCAGATCTCAAATTTATATAAATGATCACACAAATTTCATTAAAATCAGATAAAAACTGTTGTCTTTATTGCGTTTACAAGCAATTGTGGACAGGGGCGACGACAATATACAACCACATTTAAAATGTGGATAAATGTGGTCATATAAAAACACTTGGCGATTGGTTTCCGTGTTGAGGATCGGACAGACATGGCAGGACTACAACTTTGCATGCAAGGACATCAAATTAAATATATACATATCCATAAAGCCCAACGCAGACAAGGAACATTCTAAGCAAACAATCGTAAAAATTTTGTTTCGATCATTTTTTTTCGTTAGAATTGTTCGTGAAATCAAACATGTTTGAATTTTTAAAATTGTTCACCTCCCATACAATTCTTTGTTTGCCGTCTGTGTTAACGTCGAACATTAGCGCCAAACATTCATTGACGAAAGACCAATCAGCGATCGAAGCCAGACCACATGACACTCAAAATGGCGACGTCCAGTGAATCCACCAACACAAAATTTTGGACTGTGGAGAAGGAGCAGATTTTAGTAGATATGTGGTCGCAATCTGCCTGTTTGTTTATGATTTCTTCGCCCGACTATCCAGATAGGAACAAGAAGTACGCTGCGATGCAAGAAATAGCACTAGCCCTAGAAACAACCGGTAAATTTACCTCCTTTCTCCCAATCTCGTGTGACTGTAGTGTATTCTGTGCCAACATCGATATAAACTTAAAATTTTTAGACTTCCAACCAAGGGAGATATTTTTCAATAATGCAAATTTAATTTTTCTTCTGGACGTCGCCATTTTGAGGTCATGTGATTTTCCGTGGCACTAGCATATTGTTCGAGCTAAATGTTCGTCGTCTGTGGAATTATGTTTGTCGTCTGCGGATAACGGAAAACAAATATATATTTGTTCAATGTTTTTGTTCGTCGACAGAAATGTTCCTCATCTGCGTTGGGCTTAAGGTTAAAATAATTTCCTCTTTATAAATGTGTTCAACATTGTTGTAGACAAACTTATAATCTCACACTATCTGACATTTTCCTATCATACAGTAGTTACATCATGAGGTAGTTAGCTTTAGACTTTAGTAGCCTACATACAGTGAGAATATTGACCGTCCAAAGTAGGCTAATCTTAGAACTAGGTCATCGAGGTATATAGCCCAAATATGTGAGGAAAATATAAATCCAATTCATACTAACCGTTTGTGAACGAATGACATTATGATCCAATATAATGTGATGACTTTCCCATCTCCGTAAATATTTGGAGTTCATAATTTTACTCACAATAGTTCGAGTGTGATTTAAACGACACACTTGAATGTCCCCTTCACTTAACAGTTTACATTTCGGTCCCATGGATTTGATGGATAATGTGGATGAAGTAAAATGAGTTGGGGTTCCTGGCAATGACGCTGGGTCTGTGGAACTACTCGACATACACGCATCTGGCAGAGTGGCCATTTTGAATCCGTTGATCTTCGGGTTTACTGCTATAGAAATATTCCGTTAGTTAGCAGACGACAAGGAAATAACTAGGTTTTCCGTTTTTCACACGAAACAAGGAACTAATTTACATCACACCCGAAATAAAATTTACAATACGATATATCCATTATAAAAACTAAGTCTGGAACAAGTAATTAATATTGTAGCCTACATAGTAAAGGCCTGTATAAAAGCGACGATATCGACTACGTCAGAAAAGCCTCCATATCTTACTCTAGTTAGATCTAATTTTACCAACACATCTCAACACGTCACGTGATACAACTTTATGACGTTATTTTTTATAATGTTTTAATACTAATTTAATACTACTTTAAGCCTTCTACATGTTTACTCACACATCGCAATAATAGTATTTCTTTCATGGAAACCTTTCTAACAAAAACCAAAACATGATAGTAAAGAATCAATTACAACAAGGTAGGCTATAGTAGCTTAGATTTAAAAGGTACTAAAAATCGATGTTTTTATTTTGCTAAAAAAAGGGTCCTCGTGGTGAATGGTTGTAAATATACTAGGGGGGTAAACTTGAAAGACGTGCGTGTTGCAAGTTTATTTTCTGGAATGTAAACCTTATTGAAAGGCGGGGCGAAATATTTAGTTAATCTGTATACCGATCTCAGTCTATCAAAGGATTTAACAAAATCCTCTTTTCATGCTAAAAATGATATAATGTACATGTATCCTACATTAATACATATTTAAATAATAACTTACTCGGTATATTCTGATGAGCACATTATCTTCAGTTGTGAGGTATGGGGAATGATCCTTTTTATACTCTTATAGCAATTGTTTCATTTTTGCAATGCCTTAGTAATATACTAATATGAATGTTACCCTATCATCATTGTTAAACATCGCATGGAGGCTGAAACGTTAAGTTTAGAAAAACTAATGGATCTTGGCTTGCATGGGTGCGGTATAGGGTGTTGGAAAGTCGGGTTAAAAAAAACAGCATAATTACTTTCCACTAGTTTTTTTTTTCAAATAGCATAATTGTATCTAACTCTAATCTTGTCAGGTGTTGCACTCAAATTCCATATAGTATACTTATACATGTATGCACATGTAAGACCGCCCATCTATAGAAAAAAACGCATTAATATCATTACATTATGTACATAGTAGTAATTTTATTATCTCATGTGTAAAATAGATTAGGAAATTGTGTTAGCGATACTCTCTCAGACAGAGTTCCATTTAAGAGTTGTTTCCCATATAAAACACAACTTTTTCTACGAAAACATAACTGGGATCACAGGTATTTGAAAATGCGAATAGATATAGTCAATCCGTGTAGCCTGGCTAACTCATGAGCAAACTCGGGTAGGGATATCAAAACTATCTTTATCAATTCATAACTTTATATAAAAACCCTATAATAATATGACACAATTACACATAATACAAAAATAAGTACGAGTTTTAAAGATGATATATTTGATGCTACATGTATTTATATGTGTTGATAATAGGTTTTATATATTAACTGCTATTAAAGATGAGTTTCCTCATTTTTTAGTGTCAAATTAAGAAAACTATTTGATTAATTGGTGTTTCTAATGAATTATCATGTATTCTTAATCATATCATTTTGTTCTTATTGCATATAACTAAGGAGTTTTAACCAATCATAAATGTCCATATATGTACAGTCTGGATAAACAAAAAAAGACTTCTTGACCTTTCTTGATCGGGCCACTCATTGGAATTCTGGTGGTAATTCTCTTCTAATTTAGCTAATTATGAATTAATTATGGACATGTGAGACAAACTGATATTTTTCCAAGTCATTAGAACACATCTACTTTCTATTCATATAAGTATTAGCATTTTCATTTTCATAAATGAAAATTAGGGAACCCATCTTTAATTGTTTTTATTTAAGGATGTTTATATGTAAATATGTTTTAACCAGTGTCACATGGAACGTAACAAATTATGCGATAGGACAACGATAAATAAAAGTAGAACTTACCCAAAGGTGGGGTTTTAACCAAAACTGTTGAAATCTGTTGAAAACTATTCAGCTAATGACTAAACCTGTGAATTGATTATAATTAAAGGTAATTATAACATTATATTAATGTAATAAAAGCAAAAGACTAAGCTTTACTTTAGTCATAAAAGGTACTAAGGTATAGAAATTAAAGATGGCCCCCACCGATTACTAAGCATTAAATTACCATATTCACACACCTCTCATACAAAACAAAGTTACCCCAAAAGACAATTACCTTTTAGAATACCCAAAACACAAAACACACATACCTGTGAGGTTATCTGAAGAAAAAGGTTGAAGTAGACAGATTCATTATTTCATTCTGGATGGTGATGAAACTCATTGACAACTCACTAAGCTGGCCAATGACAAAAGGTAACATGATCTATAGTGAGATCAGTTCAGAAAAGAATATAAAGCCCAACGCAGATGAGGAACATTTTAAGCGAACAATCGTAAAAATTTTGTTTCGATCATTTTTTTCACCGTCTGCGGATTACAGAAACACGAACAAAAATGTTCGTGAGAATTGTTCGTGAAATCAAACATGTTTGATTTTTTAAAATTGTTCGCCTGCCGAACAATTCTTTGTTCGCCGTCTACGTTAACGACAAACATTAGCGTCGAACATTTATCGACGAAAAACCAGTGATCAAAATCAGACCATATGACACTCAAAATGGCGACGTCCAGTGAATCCACCAACACAAAATTTTGGACTGTGGAGAAGGAGCAGATTTTAGTAGATATGTGGTCGCAATCTGCCTTTTTGTTTATGATTTCTTCGCCCGACTATTCAGATAGGGACAAGAAGTACGCTGCGATGCAAGAAATAGCACAAGCCCTGGAAACAACCGGTAAATTTACAAGGTTGCCGAACACACCCTGCTCTTTACGACGTTGAATCCAGGTACGGACCTAAATGCTCCTATTTCGCCGTCTACGTTGGCGTCTTTTTTTAAATTCATAAAATAGCTAACGTAATTTTACATAATCTTCTGGACGTCGCCATTTTGAGGTCGTGTGATTTTCCGTGACACTGGCGTATTGTTCGAGCCAACTGTTCGTTGTCTGCGGAATTATGTTTGTCGTCTACGGATAACGGAAAACAAATATATTTGTTCGATGTTCTTGTTCGTCGACAGAAATGTACCTCGTCTACGTTGGGCTTTAGAGAGGGCAATAATTAGAACATTAGTATTAAACTACCCAGCAAACATCGCAACATCGGGCCGACATCGGCTCAATCTCGGCACGTCGGTTCCATTTTACGACGGCGACCCGATGTCAGGCCGATGTCGGCTATAAATAGGCTGATCGATATCGGTTCAGAAGCTGTCGGCCCTATGTCGGGCCTATTTTAAAATACAGACTATCTCTCTTACGATGCCATGCCGAAATCTTGCCGACATCGGGCCTTTGTCGGTTCATGACCGACGACCGATGTACACATTTCTATCATAACTCACGTGATACTGATATCGGGAAGATATCGGCATTTGGTAGTGGATAGATAGGCGATTTGATGATATAGGGCCTATGTTGGGCCTATTTTAAATATCGACGATCTACCTACCTATGTCAAGCCGAAATCCTGCCGACATCGGGTCGTTGTTAGTTCACGACCGACATCCGATGTGCACATTTCTATCATAACTGACGTGAAATTGATATTGGTAAGATATCGGCATCGGATAGTAAAAAGACGACCGATTTGATGATTTAGGGCCTATGACGGGTCTATTTTAGATATCGAAGATCTACCTAACGATGTCAAGCCGAAATCTTGCCGACATCGGGTCGTTGTTAGTTCACGATCGACATCCGATGTGCACATTTCTATTATAACTGACGTGATACTGATATCGGGAAGATATCGCCATTTGATAGTGGATAGACAGGCGATTTGATTATATAGGGGCTATGTCGGGCCTATTTTAGATATCGAGATCTATCTAACGACGTACAGCCAAAATCTTGCCGACATCTGGTTTTTGTCTGTTCACAACCGACATCCGATGTGCACATTTCTATCATAACTGACGTGATACTGATATCGGGAAGATATCGGCATTTGATAGTGGATAGATAGACGATTTGATGATACAGGGTCTATGTCGGACCTATTTTAGATATCAAGATCTATCTAACGACGTACAGCCGAAATCTTGCCGACATCTGGTTTTTGTCGGTTCACGACCGACATTCGATGTGCACATTTCTATCATTACTGACGTGAAATCGGCATCTGTAAGATATCGGCATCGGATAGTTAATAAACGACTTTCATGATATAGGGCCTATGTCGGGTCTTTTTCAGATATAGACGATCTATCTAACGACGTCAACACTAAATCTTGCCTTTATCGGGTCGTTGTCGATTCACGACCGACATCCGATGTGCACATTTCTATCATTCATGACGTGAAATCGACATCGGTAACATATCGGCATCGGATAGTTAATAGACGACCTATTTGGTGAAATTTCAGATATCGACGATCTATCTAACGAGAAATCTTGCCGACCTCGGGTCGTTGTCGGTTCACTGACGTAACTGATACGTGATATCGGGAAGATATAACTGAAAATGCTGTAAAGTTACATGCCGAAAATCATCACGAAATTGGCCTCATTTATCAACATACAAACGAATAATTTAAAAAATCTGTCAGCATTTTGCACAAATTTGGAAAAAAAAAGATATTATTAATGTCCGATTATCGAAGGAAAATACTACCAACAAAGGCAAACCTCCTACCCCCAGCTTACAGATCATCGTCCGTATTACTATACGGCAACCCTGATATATCCCAGGATATGAATAAGTTTATATTCAATACTGTTCATTCATACATCAGTCTGTCAAAGAGATTTGACGATTGAACTGATATATATACCCTCACGCACAGGAACAACAGACAATATCTTAGTCCGAAATGAATGCCCCTGTTTCGGCCTCTAGGGGCTTCTGTTAGAAACTGCCATTCGACAGACGCTAGGTGGAACTGTCAGAGACTGTGATAGAAAAGGCTATTTCGGGCTTACATTATTATGAATTAATGATTATATTGAAAATACCAGTGGACCCCACGATTATTTATTCGTTTATTCACTCATTTATTATTATCTTTATAACAATATTGCTTATATCACGAGGCGGATTAATATAAGCTACTTAGCTTGTTTCTGTATCGTTTGTAAATTATATCATGTCATTGCAAATGCTTTCATTGTAATAAATATTGTTTAAATCAAAAAATCCGTCAAATATTTTTAAGTTTGTAGAATGAACACTAAATGGTAGCCATCAAATGCGGCACCTTAGTGCGAAGCCTTATAGGCCTTCGCATGTTTTACGTTTTAAATCAGAGATCAGGAAGGAGGGACAGTGTAGGGTCTTATTAAAACAGTAGTGGTGCATTAAGATAAGACAACAATTAAATAAAACATCCAAGTTTCTTTAAAACTCTTCTATATCATGAATCTTTAAAATACCTTAGTCCGAAACACCTTCCTCTATTCAGTTATTTTGACAGTGTTGACGGCAGGAGTATGATCAGAAAAACCTGACTCTGTTTCATAGAGGTTTTCCGCACCTCCAAAGGTGTTTTAACATATTTATTTACCTATACTCCATAAAAAATAAACGGAAAGATGTACATTTTTGTAGTTCAGTCCTGCCACCAAATATTTTTGTCACGTCTGCAGTTTCATCAAAGCTTTTTTAATGTTTTTTTTTAAAACGAAACTAATCTCTCGCCGGCTATCAAAGATTGAAGGATCCGAGGATCAAGGGCTTTTAGAGCTTTTTTCAAGGGTTAGAAAATACTATCAAAACAAAAGAGGCAGTGCCTCTATCATCCTGTCACTCTTTGTCAACGCATAGCTGCAAAAGATATGACCTGGAACTTTTGCTTAAAATCTGTGTAATTGACCGAGTCTATGGGTTGTTAATCCACATGTATTCGTACGAAGCAACACCACTTAAAAGTAGAGCTTCCGTGTGTATCAATGATCATCAATTCTAATTCTCGAAGAAGCGATAAATTTAACATAAGTGGATGTTGAAGGACTCACTCCTCTAATTCATTTGCCATCTCTTCCCATGTTAAAACACGAAATTCAACCTTCAACAACTTTTTCCACAAAACTCGTTGAAAGCTTTCCAATATATCGAATGAAAGTCAGACCAATCCTTCATGTTTCCTAAAAAAATTCAATATATGATGACCATGAAATTTTGAGCTAGTCAAATTGAACTACCGATTATATTTAGCGGAGTGAGTCCAGAAGACGCCGATCTATATAGATAATATAGATCAGTGCCAGAAGATCGAAATATGCTTATTAGTAGTTATTTCCCTTGATAGAACTTGAAAGCGAAATAACCTAAGAGTCAACTGTAATTCCCAAACAATAATAGACGTAATAGACAAAAGTCCGGATATCAAAGTTTGGTGATGTCCCAGCATCAGTGTTTGGTGGATTCGAGGTAAATAAATACGTCCATACACGCTCAATATAATTGATGAAAAATATGAGTCTTCATATCAATGTGTCAAGAATTATCCGAGTTTGAAAGTTAAAAAGATTAAAAGACGACTCGTCCTATCTTGAGAATCTGTTAATCATCTATAGGCCTAGTAAAAGAAAGTGAAATTCCTCTAGTTTGAGTAATATTTTATGCGATTTTTGTTCCTTTCACTTCTGAAGACTATTTACACATAGGGTCTATCCATGACTCAAATCTACCCCCGAAAATGGCAGATATCCCTCTATCCTCGATATAAAAGTGTAGTTTTAGGCCACTCGCCGGGAATTTAAAATGTGCTGTATTCTGAGACCTCTTTGTAAGTCAATATAATGCCCCTTAAAGGAAGATTTCAAGATTTTGAGTCGTTATTTAATGTTATTTCACTCATTTATATATTGCTGGTTGATTAGTTTGATAATGAATTTATGATTCTATAGGCTACTTTGGTACATTTTGTTTTAATGTTCAGTTTTTATTTCTGGGGTTGAGGGCTTGTGGACTTGTACAACCAGCATAAAAATGATTGATAAAGAAGATATACATTGGGAAGGGAGATTTTATGTAAGTAAGATTCGTTGCCTGATCTTAATACAATTGTTTCATACCATAAAGCCTGTAATATAATTGACACTATATTACTAACAATAAGCAAATGCAAATAAGGCTAACAACGACGTTACGTCACAATAGCAAGCTCTGTTACTTCATCAATAATAGACATGGCGGACCAAGTTTGGCAGTCACCAAGTTGGTCTACAACTATGGAAAAAACTGGTAAGTGTTGAAATTATATAGAGAACAATTATTGAGTCATCTTTATTTCAATACTTGTTACAAAATCTTCAAGTCAAAACTAAGAGAAAATAAGCAAGAATTTTTCCAGTTAAACTTTCGCCCAGTGTAGATCTATTGTTTCTAAGGCTGGTATAAGACCGATATTAGTAACGCTTCTCGTAAAAAACAAAAAGAGAATTGCATAGATACTTGTAGTTATCTTCGGGTGTGAAGGTCAGGATTATTGAATTGAATCTTACCCTTGGGAGCAGACCAATATTCTTATGATTAATTCAAATTGTCGAGAGCCTATCTATAGGCCTACCACTGGCAACTTATTTCAAAAAGATGTACTGGACTGAAATACGCTACGTTTTGTAATATCATCTTCAGAATGCAAGAAGCTATAACGTACTACATCTTTCACTTGACTGCAATAGCCAACTTTATTATATCACACAAAGAAGTTAAATATTGCAGTCAAGGTATAAGTTCGTAATAGCTTGACATTGTGAAGATGTGAACTGATCATTCATACTAGAACATTAACTTTATGAGAGAAAACAACTTCTATGGAATATGGAATAAAGCAAATTATTTATGTTTTTCAATGTCAGATGAAGAGGGGGATAATACCCAACAGAAACTCCCATCACAACCTACAGCCTATTATAGATCTACAGCTAAAAGACCATTGTCTAGAAAACCAACTTTTCCTGCCTTGTGTAAAGAAGGTAATGTTATACTGTGTTTTTTTAAAATCATACATAGTATTTGCACCCGATTCGCCTTTTATTAGTTGATTATTTCAAGAAGTTGTTAGTGGCTATTACTGCTTATAACATAACAAAGGCGCCTTTCCGCCTCCAGAGGTAAATGTTAGTTGCTACGAACAGCTAACAAAGGCTATCATGTTAATAATAATCCACTGCTTGCAGCGGCTAACAAAGGCTAACAATTATACTGCTGCCAACAGCTAACAAGGGCTAACAATGGGCCAGAGGTAGCACCGGGGTATTGTACCTTGGGCATTGCCTGTACCAAGGTATTCTTTAGTGGGCCACGGGCAGAATCAGGCTATTGATTTTGAAACTCTTGTAGTAGTAATAGTAGATCATTTTAACTGGTCCATTGGCTGTAGCAGGGTATTTTGACAGGCTCACTGATTGTACCGGGTCATTATTACTGGACCATTGGTAGGAATAGTCTTTTGCAATTCGACCACTTGCTGAACGCAGGCCTTTGATACTGGCCCACATGTAGTATCAGATTATTGATATTGGACTCCTGGTAGTACCAGGTTTCTTGGGTCATTTGTGGTTCAGGGGTATGCTTATTTGATGACTAAGTATCATTGTGTTGTTACTGGGCTAGATGTAGTGCTAGGCTACCAGTGCCAGGGCGATGTTATTAGATCACAGGTAAGATCTAAGTATTGTAAATGTAGAACTAGTCTATTGTTATTAATCCACTGGTAGTACTAAGCTATTGTTACTGGGCCACTGATAGTACTAGGCTATGTTACTGGACCACTGGTAGTACTAGGCTATTGTAACTGGTATTGTTTTGATCCACAGGTAGTCCTAAGCTATTGGGAGA